AGTTAGAGTTTTATTTTCTCAACGTTACAACAAATATCTTTTGTCTACTTCAAGAAAAATAAATAAATAAAAAAACGATTGGCAAGGCGTTAAAATTGTTCTATATTTTACAGAACAATTTTTAACGCCTTGCCGATAGTTTTTTTGTTATTTATTTCTTCTTTCAAAGACAATTTTTTTTTTAAACGTTGAAAGAAAAAAACTCTTAAATGGTCGAAGTGTCTATATTTTACAGAAATAAAAAAAATCAATGTATTACAAACAGTTATTTATGATTAACACACAATATTTAAAAATACGAAAGATCATTTCAAAGAGTGAGCAAGTTTTTAATTTTTAAAACAAGTTTTCATTACCAAATTTATAAATGATGAAAAATGTATTCAACCCCAGATATATCAATAAACCATTTGACTCAGCAATATAATTTAAAAATTTAAAGAAACAAAGAAGGCCAGCTAATGATTAATTTATTATTAAACAAAATCTTAAACTATGTGCAATATTAGAGGTGAATATAAAAGAGTAATTACAAAACACAAGTGGCAAAAGTAAACAAATATAATTATCAAAAGAGAAATACAATAATTTAAATTTATTACATTAATTTATGATATATATTTTAAGGTATTATAGGGAATAAATATGTATTAACATACAAATAGGTACAAATTAGCGCCTTCAGGTACAAGTTCATATATTTTACAATACAGTAGTTGCATTAAGACACAAATATATTTAAAACGAATAACTAAGTTATATTATTGTGAAATTAATTTTGTTCTGATATATAACACTCTCAACTCCAAAAATGAATTTGATTGACAAATCTCAATATATTGAATTTGTTTGATCTTTCCAAATCCAGTTCTTTGGCAACCGAAAATAATTTTGTACGCAATTTTTCTTTTTCAAAGCCTTCAGAAAAGCGTTCTTGAATCATTTCAAAATAATTTGGAAAATGTTTCTTATAAAAAGGCATGTTCAATTCCATATTTTCACGTAGACCTGTTGATTCATTGGATAAATAGCCCGCTAACCTGTTTTGGTCATTTTCTAACAAGAAACTAAGCAATGTAATATTGGATTTACCAAGAAAATGATTCTTCATTATAGCAACTTGATTCTTGCAGCTATTCGTCCATTGAATCAGATTATTTGGTAACTGAACATTTTCAGGCAAACTATATGTTGGGCGCCATAGAAAAAAATATGATATAATTAATTTTACTAATGGTATATTTCCAAATTCATTACTCATAATTTCATTGGATATCAAAAATTCAAATAAATGAAAATGAGTAGAGTACCTTAATAATCGTTTTGTAACTAAATTTACCATGATATCAGAGGCATCTCTCAATATCATAATTTCAAATGCAGCCATAGTAAAAGGTATATTTTCCTTTGTGTTTTTAATATTAGCGTCAGCTCCAGCATCCAAAAGAGTGTGAATGATGGCTGGATTTAGAGAAAGAGAAGCTTTATACAACGCGGTCTCACCTACTTTATTCTTTGCATTAATTGAAGCGCCAGCTTGTATTAACATTTTTGCTAATTTATTGCTTTCATTTAATGTTGTCATAGCTAAAGGTGCATCACCCCAAATATCTTTTTCATTAACATTAGCTCCTGATTTGATCAAGAAACTTGCCACTTCTAGAGACTCATAAAAGCATGCATGATGTAAAAGTGTGCTATTAGATATATCCTTTTTGCCTATATCAGCTCCAGCTTCTAACAATAGCTTGAAATTTAGAAAATTTCTCGATTGAATTGAATAAAAGATTGCCGTAAGCGTGTTTTCGCAGCTCGCTTCTAAATTAAGCTTGACTTCTAAAATATATTTTAAGAAGTTTGTATCAAATTTCTTAGAGGCATTCATCAATGGTGTTCTTCCCTTGCGATCAGGTAGATTACAATCTGCTCCTGCGATAATCAGGTATCGGAATATTTGAAAATTGTTAGTATTGATAGCTTTTTGAAGTGGTGTTATTTTATCCCCATTCCTAGCATTTATGTCTGCACCCTTATCTAATAATTTTCTACAAAGGTATTCATTGCCTAGAGCGGCAGCTAGATGCAGTGGGGAATCCAAATCATCGATTAAATTCCTATGCCTTACAAATTTTCTTTCAAATCTAATAGTTTGACTTTCTAAATATCTGAAGTAATTACTCATCAAATTTCTATCAAATTTGAAATTTACATCAATCCCCTCTTCTATTATCATATCGACTTCTTTGAACTTTCCCAGAATAATATTATGTAAAAATTTCATTTTTGAATCCATTATAATTTTTTTTTCCATTTAGGTGAGATTTATTTTCTGAAGTTTAAAATTTTATTATGAATTTGAATTATTAATTGATATACCAACAATGAGTTTCTGAATATTGAAAACGCATCTAAGCCAAAAATAATTCAACTCTGTAAAACTAATAAATTAATATTTATTCTGTGTTCAAATAATAAAAATTCCATTTTTTTTTAAATATTTCAATTATAAATATTAATATTCAAATCTTTTTGTGATAAAAAATATCATAACAGTTTCTTATTTGCTTTGACTATATAAAAAAACAATGTACTTTTCAAATAATTACTCAATGCTTAAAGATTTAATCGCGATAAAAATAGATACTTATAGGACGGTGAATATGAATCAATTAAAGGGGAATTTAAAAAAGAAAGATTGGTCAGCAAACATCTATAAATTGAACCAAGTTTACCAAGTTTCTATAGAAGGTGTGTACACTATCCATAAAAAGTGAAATATTGAGAAATATTTTTTAAAAAATGAAATGCTTTGATAATAAACGTCAAACAAGTAGGCATGATTGAAAGAAGCTGTTAATCATTTAAAATGATATTTGTTGAGGAGAATCTATTATACATATAAAGTCTGTGTATATATGTTTGTCAGCAATATACAAATTCTCAAAAGGTACCTAATTTGACTGAAATCTTAACAGGAGTTGGAGAAAATTCAGTAAAAGTATATTGTCGCATTTTAGCCAAGAAATATTCAAATTGACCAAGTTATGGGTAAAAATAGATTTTTAGTAAGGAAATGATGATGAAAATATTGGTGTATCATTTTTGATATTATCAGGTACAAAATTATTTAGGGGAAAAATTATTATAGCAGACCACCATCCATGCCAGTTCATTTTAGAAGGCAGGAACAAAATTAGAACAGCAAAAAAATAACTTGAGCAAGAGACACGAAGCCAGGTCATCTCTATATATAAAACATCACTTATAAATAAAACATGTATTATGTCAACTATACACGTCCTCAATAATTACCTAATCTGGCTGAAATTTTAACAGGACATAGAGTTGAATCTAAAAGAGTTTATTGGTGCATTTTTTTGGCCAATAAAAATAAAAATTTAAATAAAAACAATAAGTAGGAAAATAATAGTTATATTTAATCAGAAAATTATGATGACAATATTTCAATGTCATATATTTGACTATCAGAAATATAATTCTTTAGGGAAAAATTCACTAAAGCAGACCATGGGTGAAGGCAGATAATCATTTTTAGTAGGCAGGAACTAAATTCTAACAGCAAAACATTCACTTGAGCATAATGCAAATATAGCCAGGTCATCTCTATATATGAAATAACACCCATTTGGCTAAGATCAAAGAGGAATCCTATCCCACCAGACCCCCCAGAAGACAAGATTGAGGTACCAGCTCTACCTAAAAGTAAACTAGGTGTCCTAATTCATGATCCTGGGGGCTCCTCTTCAAGGACCCGTAAATATCAGAACCCACCAGGACTAGAAGTAACGCCAGCCTACCAAAGCAGGAGTCAAGACTCACCTGCCCCAAAAGAAGACCACTTCACCAAGACCCAGGACAGGAGAAGGAGCGGAGGATTGGAGCCGCAGTCTTATGGCGCCATAAATGAAGGACCTCGACCTGGCCCTTTCTTCGGAACCCCAAGCCAGCAACCCCTGCCTTCTAAAGCCTAGACCAGAAATCGGCAAAATTTTGAGTCTGAAAAGACAAAAATTACAATTAAATTTTTTTTAAAGAGATACATTTGCCAACAATAAATAGTACTAGCATAAATATTATTTGCGTATGGAACTAAATAAAGAGCCGCAGCTTCACGCCCAAAGAGCGAAAAGAGCTCAAAATTAATCGAATACTGGAAAAATGTTTTTTTTTTTTCATTCAGAAAATGATGATGACAATAATGCTGAATCAGGTTTAATTGTCAGAAACAAAATTATTTGGGACTATTCACTAAAACAGACCGCGAGCAATGTTAGACCATTGTTTTTAGTAGACAGGCACATGATTCTAATTTTTTAATTATTATTGTATATATATATATAGGCAAATACATAGATAACTGGTTATAGTTATAAGACCATTTTATAAACATTAATCACAAAATTCAATCAAAGTTTATTATATTTTTTTAAATCACAGTGAACACATCTAAATCTAATAAAGTTTAAAATACATCCATTGATGATTTTCATATATATAATTTCATGACTAATTAAATTTATTTTATGAAGCCAAATTAAATTTTTAATATTTCTCTTTAAATTTGACATTAGCATTTATTTCTTGTATCATTGATAAAAATAACAATATATGTTTCAGCTTTTAGACATCTCAATGTGTCAGAAGGCATTATTATTTCTAAATTAAGGTTGGGTTATTTTCTAAAACTCAAATTATGTTAAATAAAATTAAAACCAGCAAATTTTCATCTATTACAGTTGCCTATTAATATGGTTTAATTTTAAAATGACCCGCTCTTGTGTGAAAATTCAAGGGGGTTCAAAATGTTTTTATACATATTTATCCAAAATGTATATATACTAGCTATACGGGCAACGCCCGGGGTTTACCTGATTAAATGATTTTAATCAAATACTATTCATTACAATTATAAATTAGCGCCGTGGATGCCATTCTTGTATAATATATAATGAGTTTTAAAAATTGTAAGAAAAGAAAAATGCATCAGTCGGGATTCGAACCCGGGCCGCCCGCATGTCAGGCGAGCATTCTACCACTAAACCACCGATGGTTATGAGAAATGCCCATATTTGGCTATTTATTCCGTTCACAAAAGCAAACGGTGACAGATTTGATTAAGAAAGGGCAATGCTCGGGGTTTACCCAATTAAATGCTTTTATTCAAATAATATTTGTTACAATTATAAATTGGCGCCGTGGATGTCATTCTTGTGAAACGTCCCGCTCCAAACTTTGTGTCTGAGAAGCGATATATTATAAAGAGATGATCTGGCTTTGTGTCTTCTGCTCGAATGAATGCTTTTCTGTTAGAATTTTGTTCCTGCATACTAAAAATGAACTGGCTTCACCCGTGGTCTCTGATTTTTTTATTTTTTCCGGATATAATTTTGTATCTGATAATCAAATATGATACAGCAATATTGGCATCATCATTTTCTGAATAAAAAACAACTTATTTTTCCCAGAAACTGTCAATTTATTTTTCTTGACTAAAAATTCGAAAAATATATTTTCCAGATTTTTCTATATGTCCTGTTAAAACACGTTTTACATGTCCATTAGGTCAGCTGATATTACCTCCCATCTTCACCGCTAGAGGCGCTGCTTGCGAGCGAAGGGGCAAATTTGCCACGCAATTTGCAAATAACTTGTATACATACTTGTATACTTGTGTATATAGACAATGGATCTGTACATAGACATGAAAAGCACATATATTTCAATAATATAAATGAGTTTTGAAAATTGTAAAAAAAAAAAAAATGCATCGGCCGGGAATCGAACCCGGGGCGCCCGCGTGGCAGGCAAGCATTCTACCACTGAACCAAAAGCAAACGGTGACAGAATTAAGAAAGAATGCATTACGCTGATAACTGTATATATTAATTGTATACTTCTTGTATAGTTTATTGTTTACTTCTTGTATAGTTTATTGTATACTTCTTGTATAGTTTATTGTATACTTTTTGTATAGTTTATTGTATACTTCTTGTATAGTTTATTGTATACCTCTTGTATAGTTTATTGTATACTTCTTGTATAGTTTATTGTATACTTTTGTATAGTTTATTGTATACTTCTTGTATAGTTTATTGTATACTTCTTGTATAGTTTATTGTATACTTCTTGTATAGTTTATTGTTTACTTCTTGTATAGTTTATTGTATACTTCTTGTATAGTTTATTGTATACTTCTTGTATAGTTTATTGTATACTTTTTGTATAGTTTATTGTATACTTCTTGTATACTTATTGTATAGTTTATTGTATACTTTTTGTATAGTTTATTGTATACTTCTTGTATAGTTTATTGTATACTTCTTGTATAGTTTATTGTATACTTCTTTTATAGTTTATTGTATACTTTTGTATAGTTTATTGTATACTTCTTGTATAGTTTATTGTATACTTCTTGTATAGTTTATTGTATACTTCTTGTATAGTTTATTGTATACTTTTGTATAGTTTATTGTATACTTCTTGTATAGTTTATTGTATACTTCTTGTATAGTAATTGTACACTGCTTGTATAGTTTATTGTATACTTCTTGAATAATTTATTGTATACTTCTTGTATAGTTTATTGTATACTTCTTGTATAGTTTATTGTATACTTCTTGTATAGTTTATTGTATACTTCTTGTATAGTAATTGTACACTGCTTGTATAGTTTATTGTATACTTCTTGAATAATTTATTGTATACTTCTTGTATAGTTTATGGTATACTTTTTGTATAGTTTATTGTATACTTCTTGTATACTTATTGTATAGTTTATTGTATACTTTTTGTATAGTTTATTGTATACTTCTTGTATAGTTTATTGTATACTTCTTGTATAGTTTATTGTATACTTCTTTTATAGTTTATTGTATACTTTTGTATAGTTTATTGTATACTTCTTGTATAGTTTATTGTATACTTCTTGTATAGTTTATTGTATACTTCTTGTATAGTTTATTGTATACTTTTGTATAGTTTATTGTATACTTCTTGTATAGTTTATTGTATACTTCTTGTATAGTAATTGTACACTGCTTGTATAGTTTATTGTATACTTCTTGAATAATTTATTGTATACTTCTTGTATAGTTTATTGTATACTTCTTGTATAGTTTATTGTATACTTCTTGTATAGTTCATTGTATACTTCTTGTATAGTTTCTTGCATATTTCTTGTATAGTTTCTTGAATACTTCTTGTATCGTCTGCTTTTTTAATAATATAAATGAGTTTTAAAAATTAAAAAAAAAAAGGCATCAGCCTGGAATCGAACCCGGGGCGCCCGCGTGGCAGGCGAGCATTCTACCACTGAACCAAAAGGTGACAGAATTAATAAAGAATGCATGACGCTGATAACTGTATATATTAAATATAGAAAAGAGTACCGCAAAAATTTGAATACAGCAATTATTTTCTAAGGAATTTTGTTAGTTTTTCTTCATATATTTATAACAAAGGGATGGGTTATTCAAATTGAAATTATGTGAAATAAAACCTCCAAATTTTCTAAATTAGAATTTGCCTATCAACACCGTTCTATTTTTAAAAAGAAATACTATTTTTTGAAAATACAAAAGGTTCAAAATGTTAAAATACATATTAATCCAATAGAAAATTATAACACAAAATTTGAATACACAAATTTTATTATAGAACATTTTTTACTTTTATTTATATAATTATAAAAAATATATATTTTTCACATTCTCAAAGGGAACATTCATAATGAATATTTACAAAATAATCGCCAGTATAAAGGTATTTTAAATATTTTAATTTGGTTTATCAACTGTGTATGATTCCAAATTCCAGAAATGTAATTGTTTGACGACATTGAATGAAACAAATTCCTTTGCCTTTTTGAAATTCAGTTCTTTGGCGACAGTGAAACATTTTGCAAGCAGCATTGCTTTTTGAATACCTTCCATGAAGCGATCTTCTAAAATTTTGTGATAGCTTGGATATAGCAAATAAAGGCATGTTGAGCTCCAGTTCTTGGCGCAAAGCTCTAGAATCATTTGACAAGAAGCCAGCCACTTTGTTCAGGTTCTTCTCCGTGATGAAGCTGTACAATGTGGTATTGGTTTTACCTATAAAATGGTTCTGCATCTTCAATACTTGAGTCTTACAGTTATTCACCCAGTCAGACATCTCGGTTGACATTTGAATATCACTTGACAGACTTGTTTTTGGGTCAAGCAGAATGGAATACTTGATTATTATACATATGAATTGCTGTGTTGAAATTTTAAAATCGTTTTGTGATTCATCAAAAAATTGTTCAAGTCAATATGATCTGAATATTTTAGTACTACCTTCAGGGTATTCATTTTATCGAAATGACTTTGCATTAAATTGATGCATTCACTGACAAATATATCAAATGCTGTTTTTCCAATTCTGTTTTCAAGCATGATTTCGGCTTCACCTTCAAGGAGAGTTAGTAAAATGGTTGGTTTCAAGTATTCAGCTGCAATATGCAATGCTGTAGCCCCGTATCTATTACCAGCATCTAATATAGCGCCTGTTTGTATTAGCAATTTTGTTAATTCATTCGAGTCACTCTTTAGAAATGCATACTTTAAGACAGATATTCCTTCATTTGATATCTCATTAACATTAGCTCCTAATTTAATTAGGAATGCCGTTATATTCCGATTTTGATTTAAACATGCTTTGTGTAATATAGATTTTCCTTCTGTATTTTTCATGGTGATATCAGCGCCAGCATCATATAAAATCTTGAAATTAGTGAAGGACGCTTCGGTGGAAAAAAATAAGGCTGTTCTACCCACCCAATCTCTTACATCCAGTTCTAACATTCAATTTCAACAAATCCTTCATAAAATTTGCATCAATATGTCTAGAAGCACACATCAATATTGTCTCTCCACACTTTGTTACCGCATTATAATCTGCTCCAGATTTGATTAAAAATCGGAATATGTTTAAATGTTGATATCTGACACCCTTGCATAGTGGTGTCATGTTCATTTGGTTCCTGGCATTTATTTCTACACCATTCTCCACTAGTAATTTGCAGACGTCTTCTCTGCCCATACTCGCTGCCCAATGCAATGGGAAGTCCCATCGATCAAGTTCGCGAAATATTTCATATCTCAACAAAGTATGGGTGTTGTTATTTATAAAGAATTTGTCATAGCTTTCATTTATATATTCCCCTTCTTCAATTAAAGTCTTCACATGCTCCAAACTTCCTTTGCATATTGCTTGGATAAGTTTCATGTTTGATGCCATTATATAATTCTTACTTTAATGTTGTTTTTTTAATTCTTAAACTTTTGTTTATTCTGAAATGAAAAATTTATCTATTCGAGTAGTAGTAATATAAATGTAATCCAGAGAGAGAAAATATCTTTATTTTACGGGGCTGCTAACCAAAATGAATGATTTTTGAGCCCCGATGGACGCATAAAGCGGAATATATACAAAGCATAGTTGGAGGGGCCTGGGGATGGGTGGCCAGGGATCATCGCCAGGTGAGGCCAGGAGAGCCGGGATGTAGAGGAGGACCGGGGGGGGGGGGGGGGAGCAGGGTGGTGATCCAGGGAGTTCAGGGGGTGGCAGAGACGGGTTCAATGGTGTTGAGCCCAGGGGTGACCGTGGAGAGCAGACAGACCGCAATGATTAAAGTATACGATATTTAAGCCCAAAAGGTGTAGCAGGCAGACAAGCCGCAATGCACAATGTCAAAGTATCAAGGTGCTGCACGCAACCAAGGCTGTTCAAAAAGGTTAGATTCCCCAGGCCAGGGAAAATAAAAGAAAGACAGCTGTTGTTTAAATAAGAATATTAGATAAAGCGAGAATGATTCAGCAACTGATGGGAAAAGATAGATTATTTTTTATTTTATTTATTTATTATTATTATTATTATTTTATTTATTTATTTTTTTATATATATATATTTTTTGTAAAAATGAATATATTAAAGTTTTAGGTAAGATTACTGGTGAGGGTACCAGTGCTAAGACGACCTACCAGAAAAGTACACCATGGATTGCATAGCGCGTTCAAATGGGTCGCT